TTCAGCTTATCTTGGGGTTCTCAAATAATCTCATGCCACCAAATTTACCTGAAGTTAGTGATTTATTAATTCATGATGTTTTTGTCTGGATTTTTTTTGGGGGGTGGTGGGAGGTGCAAGTGAAAGAATTCAAAATTCATTTAGCAAGAAGAAAAGTATAAAAATGAAAGGAAGAAAGGGAAGATGGGAAAGAACAGGAGCAGAGGGAAGGAAGAAAGAGAAAACCTTAAGAACACATGAAATAGTTATCAGGACTCTTGATGACAACAAAATTTACCTTAAGTTGGTCTAGACCAAACAATTGACTTCATTGTTCGCCTGCTTAAATAAAAGCAGGTAAACTCTTTCAAACTACTAAAAAGTCAAATACAGAGGTTAATTTGGACAGAGCTGAAACTAGTTTGTTGCAAGATGTCCTGTACAACATGGTTCCTCCATTCGTGACAATGGGAATCAGTCCTCCCCAGCAATCATAAGGTCTTGGGAAGGGAACGTTTTTCAAAATAAAAATTCAACTATATTGCCAGAATAGGATGCAAAGTTTTTATCAGACCCATCGACGTAGCGGAGATGGAAGGAAAAAAAACACATGTACCCTAAGAGAAACTTCCTTGAAACCCCAATTCATATCAGGAAGTGCTGAGTGACTACAGAGACACAGAATAAGCACAAGAATTCTCTAGACTGCCAATCCATAGGGCACTATTCATTGCTGCTAATCACCCTGCTTCCTCTTCTTTAGCAAATGGTGATATTTTCCCTCCCTCCCCAAACATCCAGAGGAGCCAGCAGGATTTTCCATCCTGGGCAATGTGGGCATGCATGTGCGACTTTGACACCCCCTGCTCAGCTCCTCTGATTTCTCCTCACATCATTACCAAGGTGGCTGGATCTCTGGGGGAAAGGCCCTGAGCAGCTTGATCTCTCTGTCATCATGTGCTTGGTCCTTGAAGAAGGGGCCACCCGCACCCCCATGTTGTCACCTGTCTTCGCCAAAATCCCCCCATTTACTACTCATGTTCACAATTCATGGGGGCCAACAGGACTGAGGGAAAGGGTCTCTCCTATAATCAGGGCACTGTCCCTCTTAATCTTTCCATCCAGGTTTGGGGGTGTCTAAATTAGGTAGAAATCCAAAGTGTGACTCAGGTGTTTTGAATAAAGGCAAAGGAGAAAAGAAAGGCTTAAAGTAATCTGTTCCAATTCCCTATTCTACTGCAAAAGAATCATAAAACTAATCTGTGTTCTGCCTTCTCTGRTTTTTTCAGGGGAGTGGCCTAATTCTGACTGGCAGGACCCTCATGTTGCCCCATGTCATAGCTGAAGGGCTATTAAGCTCCCATTCACAGTGCAGGGGATTATTTACCTTGGGGCTGAGGTCACAAGCCATATCTGCAATCAACAAAACAAAACAACAATAACCAAAAAAAAAAAAAAAAAACACTTCAATTTTCTCAAATCTCCCAAGATTTAAAAAGGAACAAAAAGTTACTGGTGTGTTTGCTGACTGGAGTGATTATGCAACTCAATCATTTTGATTTACAATTGCATCTTTGTCCTTGTAGAAATAACTCTGCAGCTGAACAACGGGAGATGGAAACAGATTAACCTTCCAACATGTGAATATAAGAGGAGTTGTAGGGTGCAAGCCTCTATTTGAGGTTAACACAAAGTCTCCGGTTTCCATGAATACACAAAATTAAAGAGCATTCTTTTTTTTCCCCCTTTCCTTTTCTTTCCTTTTGATCTGCCATGAAAAGGGAATTATCAGTGGTGTCTAAGCCTCAGTTTTATATTCTCCCTGATTATTTTGCATCATAAAGCCTTTGAATCTGTTTGACGTATTCCAGGAGCTCTGAATCTTTGGTTGTTGTGTGCAATAGGCCGCAGGAAAAAAATAAATAAAAGGCAAGAGGTCATTCTGGAATGGAAAGTTTATGAGCCATATTGCAAATACAAATAGCTTTTYGACTTTCAAGAAATAAACAGGTCTGTGTGTTCCCTGTGCATCTGAAAAAGGCCGTTACACTCCATCAGTGATTCTCAAACCTACATGGATATCAGAATCAACCGCAGGGCCTGTAAAACACAGATTGCCTTTCCTCACCTYCAGAATTTCTGGCTCAGTAGGTCTGGAGTAGGGCCTAGGGGTTTGCATGACTAATAAATTCCTATGTAAAGCTGATGCTAGTCCAGGAAGCAACATTATGAAAACCACCGCACTGCTGATTTTGAGTGTAAACAGAAGACCATTCCTCTCTTCCCAGCTCATGAGATAAATAGATGGTTTGCCAGCACTGATGTTCCCATCACTTCATCATATGCCTCCAAATGACATTTGACTTCAGAGGCTGGATGGGGGAATCGGGTGGCCTGGACCACCAGAGTTCTTGCTATCACATTATTTTAACCTGGTCATCTATTTCTATTGAGGATTGTGGAAATCAATGAAGACCAACCAGAAGAAGTATCCAAGCTATTTAGGGAGAGCTTGCTACAGGCCAGGGAATCTTTCTACCACCATCACTGGTATTTAGCAGAGAGCCAAAACCAGGCTGAGAWGTGGAAGAGCTTGATGAGGAGGAAGGAGAAGGATGTCTAGTGCACCCTGAGAGCAGGCTAGGGAAGGGACAGGTGGGCTCACTAGAAGTGGGTATCCTATATAACTGGTCAGGGAGATGTGTTGGGGTTTTTGTTGTTGTTTTGTTTTGTTTTGTTTTGATTGGCCCTATATTGGAATCAGGGACAAAAATGAAGGAAGTTGGAGCCAGGCACAGTAGCTTGGGAGGCTGAGGCAGGAGGATTACAAGTTCAAAGCCAGCCACAGCAAAAGTGAGGCACTAAACAACTCAGTGAGACCTTGTCTCTAAATAAAATACAAAATAGGGCTGGGGAGGTGGCTCAGTGGGAGAGTGCCCCTGAGTTCAATCCCCAGTACCAAAAAAGAAAAAAAAAATGAAGGGAGTCATCCATTATTAATCAAGTCATAGCCATTTGAGGCTGATTGCTCTAGGGTTATTAAAGTCTTCCTGAAGGTTGTGGGTCAGAGTTCTGTTTTTATACACAGTCTTGCCATTGTTCATCTGTATATTTAGTCTCTCAGACAACACCATAGACATCCCCCCTTTTTGTATATCCTAGGAAAATCCCACATTGGTCAGTTTTTTATGTAAATTTTTAATTTATGTATGACAGCAGAATGTATTACAATTCTTATTACACATATAGAGCACAATTTTTCATATTTCTTGTTTTATATATAGTATATTCATACCAGTTCCTGTCTTTATACATGTACTTTGGATAATAATGATCATCACATTCCACCATCATTAATTACCCCATACCCCCTCCCTTCCCCTCCCACCCCTCTGAATCTATTCCTCCCATGCTCCCCTCCTCCCTACCCCACTATGAATCAGCCTCCTTATATCAGAGAAAACATTCGGCATTTGTTTTTTTGGGATTGGCTAACTTCACTTACCATTATCTTCTCTAACTCCATCCATTTACCTGCAAATGCCATGATTTTATTATTCCATTGTGTATATATGCCACATTTTTAATCCATTCATCTATTGAAGGGCATCTAGGTTGGTTCCACAGTTTAGCTATTGTGAATTGTGCTGCTATAAACATTGATGTGGCTGTGTCCCTGTAGTATGCTGTTTTTAAATCCTTTGGGTATAGTCCGAGAAGAGGGGTAGCTGGGTCAAATGGTGGTCCATCCCCAATTTTCCAAGAAATTTCCATACTGCTTTCCATATTGGCTGCACCAATTTGCAGTCCCACCAGCAGTGTATGAGTATACCTTTCCCCCCTACATCCTCACCAACACTTATTGTTATTTGTATGCATAATAGCTCTCATCCTGACTGGAGTGAGATGAAATCTTAGAATGGTTTTAATTTGCATTTCTCTAATTGCTAGTGATGATGAACATTTTTTCTTGTATTTGTTGATTGACTGTACATCATCTTCTGAGAAGAGTCTCTTCAGGTCCTTGGCCCATTTATTGATTGCTTTTTTTTTTTTTTGGTGTTTAGCTTTTTGGGTTCTTTATATACCCTAGTTATTAGTGCTCTATCTGATGTGTGAGGGGTAAAGATTTGCTCCCAGGATGAAGGCTCTCTGTTGACCGAACAGATTGTTTAATTTTGCTGAGAAGAAGCTTTTTTAGTTTGAGTATATCCCATTTATTGATTCTTGATTTTAATTCTTGTGTCACACGAGTCTTATTAAGGAAATTGGGGCCTAATCCTACATGATAGAGATTAGGGCCTACTTTTTCTTCTATTAGATGCAGGGTCTCTGGTTGTATTCCTAAGTCCTTGATCCATTTTGAGGTGAGTTTTGTGCATGGTGAGAKACAGGGGTTTAATCTCATTTTGTTGCATATGGATTTCCAGTTTTCCCAGCACCATTTGTTGAAGAGGCTATCTTTTCTCCAATGCATGTTCTTGGCACCTTTGTCTAATATAATTGAAGTTATATGGGTTAGTCTCTGTGTCCTCTATTCTGTACCATTGGACTACCAGTCTGTTTTGGTGCCAATACCAACACATTGGCCAGTTTTATTTAAACAACTGATATTTATTAAGGACTTTCTATGTGCAAAATTTCATTTGGGGGATATAGCTCAGTTGGTAGAGTGCTTGCTTTGCATGCACAAGGCCTTGGGTTCAGTCTCCAGCACCATAGGAAAAAAAAAATTGTTGTTGTTTGGTGCATGAAATTTTAAAAGACATACCAATATCAGTGAGAAGAAGCCTAAAGCATTGAGATATCAAGGAGAAATATCAGAGTGCCTGTTGTTTAGAATATTCCATCACAGGGGAGAGAGAGTCCAGTTCCTTTCCTAGATCAGGGAGCTGGGTTTCACCAGGGTGCATAGATCTGCACCTTTGTTTGCATCAGGAATTGGCTCTCTGTTCTGCAGAGATGGGTCTTCAGGGTCATGCCTGCCTTACTCCTGCTAAGCCTGTTTACTTCTCTAACAGGTGGATGATCTGAAAGCCAAGCTGGCCACCCAGGAAGTGGAGCTAAAGCAGAAGAACGAAGATGCAGACAAATTGATCCAGGTGGTYGGCGTGGAAACCGATAAAGTGAGCAAAGAGAAAGCCATCGCCGACGAGGAGGAGCAGAAGGTGGCGCTCATCATGCAGGAGGTGAAGCAGAAGCAGAAGGACTGTGAGGAAGACCTRGCTAAAGCAGAGCCAGCCCTCATGGCCGCCCAGGCCGCCCTCAACACCCTCAACAAGGTAGGAGGGCTGCCTGCCACACCTGACCACCTCCAGGGGAGGGCCAAAGACCACCTGGTGTCCTGGTGTTCTTGAGACATAACAAGGGCAGAGTTGGGAGGGTTCCGGGTGACCCCAGATGCTATTGCTTTATTCACTAAGTGAACAARTACTCATTTAACTGACTCTTGTATCAGGATCCAAGAGCTACCAAAGAAATCCCAGAGATGTTAATCATAGAACCAACCAGAACATGGAAGAGCACTTCACAGAGGAGAAAACCAAGGCTCAGTGAAGTCACTCACTGTCCCACAGTCACAGGTGTCAATATTAGAGTCAGGACTTGAACTTACATCTTCAGAATCCAATCCCTAGATCTTCCAGTGTGGCAACCCAGGGTCCTTTTGACCTTTAGGTACCACAGGGCCCAAGAGCTTTCTAARGCTCCTTCATAAATGTTTAAGATATGAGTCTGAAATAAGATACAACCTCCCCTCTGTCTAATGKAAAGTACCTCTATTCTTCCCTACCTGGCCCYGTGTTGTGAATTAGCATCCACATATCAGAAAAAACATGAGGCCTTCGGTTCTCTTGGGATTGGCTTATTTCTCCTAGCATGATATTTTCCGGTTCCATCCATTTACCAG